ATTTATTGTTATATAGAAGAGAAACTTTCCATCTCTAATACGGGTCGTTGTGGTTGTCGTCATAGTTGTTGCTGCTGCAGTAGAAGATTGGATCTCGTATGGTGCGGCAGGATATTGAATGGGCATGGGAAAGGTCAGAAACGAAAAATTGACCTGACTAGGAAAGGATTGGTCCAAGCAAATGCACATTATCTTCCAATTATTTGGCAGCTAAATAGCATGATTTGTCTCTGCAATGTCAAAGCTCTAGATAAGAAAATATGAGGAAGAGAGAAATATGGAGTTTCTTTATATATCTATATTTACATAGAGAGTAGTATGTATAGGCTATATTAGATGGTGATCTAAGGTAACATATCAATTAATAATATGCACAATTAAAAAGAGATATATGTGCAATTCTGATGGATACGGATTATCAAGATAAATATTCTAATTATCTTTATCAGGGAGGAAATGTTCTAGAGAGATAACTCTGACAGTTCTAGATACCCATTAGAGAATAATGAACCTACTATCTTGCATTACATTCATCAGCATTTCCAATTGCAGAGAAACATTTCGGCTTTATCCTTCCCTGCCTCGTCTTCTGATTTGGCAATCATGTCTCCCCAACTTCCCTTTGTTTGTATGCCTTTGAAGGCCATAAATACCAGCTAAACTTGGTGATTCGAGGACGTAATTTGCTCTCCGACTTACCTTTTGTTAAGAATCATATGGTGAACAATTTTCAATCTGTTTCAACAAAGAAAAGAGATGAAGATGTTGCTGATTCAACCAGAAAGGCAAGAGATGAAGTCAACAGTAAAACTTCCACCAGCTTCACGTGTTCAACTCTCCCACTGCAGAACCGTTACTCTGTTTTGTGCATTTAACTGAATGAACAACTTTACTTTCTTCTTCTGTTATTTTGTTAGTTTGTTATCCTCATTAGATAAGCTGTAAAATGATCTTTGGTGGTTCTTCAGCATTAGTTTTGTATAATATAAATACGAGAACAGAGAAAATGTGTTGTAAGTTTGAGTGATGAGAACCTTCCTTGTATTCAGAGTGAAGTAAATCCAAAAGCTCTGTTTCTTTTCTCTCTGTTTCTTCTCTCATTGTTTTCTTCTCTTTTCGTTCGTAAGCCTTCACATCTTTCTGCGTCCCTATATGTCGACTATAATGGCTATTCACAAGGCTTTGCTTATATTAGCTATGGCGATGTTTGTGTCTGCTATAGACAGCAACCGGTACGACGCGCATGCGACTATATATAGTGACATGAGCGGTGGAGGAACCATGCGCAAGTAAAAAGATCTTTGCAATGGAGGCAGAAGAGCCATGTTTCTTAGTAATACTTAGAATAAAGATAGGGACACTAAAACTTCTTACTAAAACATGTTTACTAGCCTATGTAACTTCTTTTTACATATTTCACATCGCACGCCGTCGATTTTTACATATTTCACTCACAGTTGAGAAGTCAACGTGGGAAGTGACTTGGAAACTAGAATTTCCTCATTTATATCCATGAACAGCCCTTAACTTCTCCTAAATACTTGGTCCAACTATGTTCAATTGTTCGGTGCAAACTTGTTATATCGTAGGTCCATCTCACATATCGACAGGTACGATTCACTGCAAAAAATGTGGCAAAATGCAGATGAGCCTTTCGCCCAAATGGGCCATTTCTTGAAGATACTCCTGATTTTGTGTGGCTATACTTGTGTTATTTAGCAAAGGTTTGTGTCATTTCAGTACGTTCTTGTCTAAGGCGCGATTGTTGTAGTATATCCTAGATCATTTTTCATGATTGAATACGTTGTCATATCTACCCATCAATCGATTTTCATACATCTAGCATTATTTTATATAGAATTCAATGTGTAATCATCTCTAAAAATTGAAAGGTTGGAGAATCATACCGGAAATATTTGAAATATCATCACAATCCTGACATATTAGTAAGGTAGGAAAAACAGATATAGGTGAAAACTAAATTAAAATCTGATTCCAAAGTTTTCTTTTTGTTCCTAGGGAGGATATCTGATGATACGCGGCTCAAGAGTCAAGACACATGAATGGACTAATGGAGTGTCAGGAAACCAAACAGAAGACGACTAAGAGGAGGCCCATGAAAACAACGTTGGGGAATGAATGTTCAACTTCCAATTATTATAAAGCAATTATTACTTTGAAAGGATCCAAGACGAGGAACACTAAGTAGAACAAACAACATTGTCTAGCGAAACACGCCTCTTCTTTCTTCTTATCTCTTTTCGTTGTTTGAAATGGGAGATTTTTTTTCTCTTAAATTATTTGGGTACATATGAGCACAATATATCCAATTCTTTAATATAGATGAGTCTTACATGAGACTTACGTGATCTAAGAGTCAATAGAGTCGGAATGCACTAAACTAACATGTCATGAGACCGATTATATGACGTTTCTAGCAAAATCCGTTTCCTTCATTTTACCACCTCACAAAAGAAAATCCCAAAAAAAAAGAGGGGAAAGAAAAAAAGGAAAAAGGAGGAGCAGCCCGATCAATTCAAACATTATTTCGTTTGGCCCACATGTTAAATTATTGTTTTTCATCAGATCAAAATATGTTAAATTCAGAAGACAAGCACTCGGGGATATATTAACTAATATGATTTCATATTTCAATTCCTTCTCTTAGCCAAAAAACAAAAATGCCGTTGGATGAACATGTTCTATTTTAAGTACCTAAAACCCTCTTCAACCTTCACTCAAATTTTAAAAAAAATTATAAACCACGAATTATCTAAGAATCTAACTCTAAAACCCCAAAACTTGTTATTTCTATATAGGAAAATGACACAAATGATATATGGACTTTAGCCCAATGTGCAATGTGATTCTTGAACTTTCAATTTATTCAATGTAGTCCTTAGACTTTTGGTACATGTTCAGTTGAGTTTTTGAACTATATAAAAATGTTCAATGTTGTCCATAAACTTGAATTACTGGAATGACAACATTGAATATTTTCATATAATTCAAGGACTAAGTTGAACATGTACCAAAATTCCAGAGATTATATTGAACAAATTAAAAGTTTAGGGACCACATTACACATTGAGCTAAAGTTCAAAAACCATTTATGTCATTATCTCTTTCTATATCTTTCCCATGATGGCTGCAGCGGTCGCCGAGAGGTAGAGGAGGGGCCCAAAATTAGCGACGGTAGCAATGCGGTGGTGGAGGGGGCCACGAGTCTCATTGCTCCGATGGCGACGGGGCTGGTGGCGGTGGCTAAGAAAGGGAGGGGAGGGAAGTTGCTAGGATTAAGGTTTTGTGAGTTTAGGATGGGTTGGGGTTAAAAGTGTGGCAAGGGTAATATTTTAAGGAAAATGAAAGTGTGTAATGAAATGACCGTGCCAACTTATATCGAGTGTAACTTTTACGTCTGACAATACATTCAAAGTTACAAGTATTGGCTTCTAATTGGTAAAACGAAGCAGTGATTTAAATGTAAAGGATGCAAAATCATCTTCGGGTGAAGGCGTGGACTAATTTTGTTTTTCACCATTTGCTCCGAAGGGTCCCGCGCTAGGCCAAATGATTTGATCAATATTCAACCAACACTACGCAAGAAACATATGTTATAGGACTATGCATGTCGGGAAAATCACACAATCAGTCATAAGTCTATTGTACGGATGTCAATTCAGTCTCAAACTTTTCAGATTTACCAATCTAGTTGTAATCCTTCGCACGAAATTCCAATATAGCCCTTCCGGCCAATTTTCGTTGAAAATTTCCTGACGTGATAGTACAATCATCGCTGGCCATTCTACATGGCATACCATCACGTCAGCGAATCCCGACGAAAATTAGCCAAAAGATTTAACACTAAATTGCAAAATTAGAAAGTTTAAGATTGAATTGGCATCTATATAATAAATTGAGAACTAAATAGATAATTTTTCCGACATGTATATTTCCGCACCTCATATTGCGCTTCATATGACCTAATTAAATCGTAGGATCTTACTGATCGACTCAAAACTAGCCGTCCAAAATGTTACTCATTCTCTCGCTTCAACAAGAAACGATGAATGCAATGATCACTCGCGTGAAGACCATTTAGAAAGCGTGGAAATGACGGCCAGACGAGTGCGCAGCGCCGTGATCAATGAGCTAGTGAGAAGTACAAGTGGAGGAAACCGAAAGACTGGGACCGTGTTGTTTTTTATTAAGACGCGAAGCTTTTTGGGTTGGAACGTACCCCAAGTTTGACTCTGGATCCCCACTCGGGACGCACAGAATCATTGAAGGCAAGGATGATGTCGTGTCCCAAGTGACCCGTCATTATTGGGTAACGGGGGTTAAGGCCTCGTCAGCTTATCTAGAAGCACCGGATGAAAATAAACTCTCGTCATTCTTCGTTCATTCAAGTCGTCATGTTCAATATTGATGGGTTATTTTTTTTTATTTTTCTGATAAAATAAAAGATAATTCGTAACAAGAAGTTCCGACTTTAAATCTTTTCAAAGTCTATTTACCTCCCTAATTAAATATGTACAAATTTAATACCAGGCAAAAAAATCAGACCAAGCGTGAGGGGGAGTGATAAAATATTAATATTAAACCACATCTTCATCTAACGGCCTAAACTTTTAGAGCAGTCGGAAGTGGTCCCATAATATCTCACTTCGTATCAGAGCAGGGGATCATGACTTTGAATATTTCCAGGGTCCCATTTGCCTCCCCGATTAAATATGTTCATACTTAGTACTAGGGAACAAAATCTCACATTTTCCATTCTTCTCTTGTTTGATATTTCCTCAAGAAGGGGGAGGGTTCAAAATGATAAATCACCGTTCCATTTTGCCTGTGGTCAAGTGTCAATCTTGACTAGCTCAGGGACCCAAATGGCAACTTCATGAGCACCAACAGATCATGCTTACTCCCCTTTATAAAAATACGTCAAACTGACCCGAGAATCACTTGCTTGCTCGACGGGGACTCTTCCCCGACTTTCTGGCTCTTTGGTCAGTACAGGCACATCAAGAGTCACGACCACGTCGGTACTCTTCCGTGAAATATGCGACGTTGAACGCTGTCCGTGTTTCCTCATCGGTTTCTCGTTATATTTCCTCTCTCGCGCGCGAAAGTGTGAAAAGGAACTTCGCTTTCTAAGCACTCTCCAAGATTCCGCACGTCCCTTCCTTCTTCTCTTCTGCCACGCGATCCCCTACTTAAAACCAAACCTAATCCGCTGAAAAAGGGAAGCCGAAGGAAACTTGTTCTGTCCGACTGTTGCTGGTCCTTCCTCATGCTTCTCGTTGATCAAAACGATCCGCCATCTCAATCCACTCGATCCACGACTGTCTCTTGATCGAAAACGGCGTCCAACCGATGTCTCTGACGATGCCGAAGGCCGCTCTGTCCCCCCTCCTCCTCCTCCTCCTCCTCCTCTTGGCCGGCATGGTATTGCCGATCCTCACGGCCGCGGCACGTAAAGCCTGCAGCCAGACCTGCAGCAACGGCAAGCCCGCAAACCAGAACCTGACGTACCCGTTCGGGTTCTCGCCGGGCTGCCCAATCCGGCTCAACTGCACCAAGGACGGGGACGCCCTCATAGGGGAGTTCCTGGTGCAGTCCGCGTCCGTGGACACCATCACCGTCACCATCAAGGCCAATTGCAGCCGCCCGTTCGGGTCCATGGACCAGCTCTACGGCCGCAACTACGCTCCGAAGGGGAAGAACGCCGTCCTGCTCAGCAATTGCACGCAGAACTCCCCCTGCGATGTGCCCAACACCCTGGTCATCCAGGCCCAATTCCAGTCCGGTTGCGATTCTAGCACCAAGATCAACACCAGCATGAATTGCTACTCCGAGGAGCCGAACCACTACAACGTGACGTTTCTCAACCACAGTCGGCTCTTCGCCCTCGGCTGCGAGTACTTTCTGTCGTCGATATCGGCGGAAAACCTGAACAACATATCGGTGTCACTGGGCGTCCAGATGCTACAGCTGGTGTGGTGGGTCAACGGTGACGAGTGCGAGTGCTCCGACGACGCGGACTGCGTTCAGCTCTCGGGGCTGCCGAAAGGCGGCGGGAATGGGTTCCGGTGCAAGTGCAGGGACGGGTTCCTCGGCGACGGGTTCTTGGCCGGCACCGGCTGCCGGAGAGGTTAGTTGGAGGGCTTTATCATTGTTGACTCTTTTGACCAATTATCTTCTGCGATTAAATTAGGAAATCGGTGCTAAAAATGCTTAAATGGGATACAAAATCAATTTGCTAACTGTCATGGCGGACCGGCAGTAGGTTAAGAATACGACCCATTTACTCGACTTTTAGTCTTAGACATTATTATACATATCGATAATGGAAAATGAGTTTTGTTATGCCTAGTTTACTATTGAGTTAATTGCACATCCGAGAGTAATTTAGTACATATAAAGTGGACATTTTATGGTTTTTAAAGTCAAAACCCCACCTAGAAGTTGCTATGTTCATCAGACGAGTCAAAAAAATTTTGGTTGAGAAATTTTGGGGACACCTTTTTGTAGTTTGGTAATTTTCTTTCATGCAAACGACAATTTAGGAATTAAATCTTCATGAGAAACTCATGCAAACGACAGTATAGGAATCAAATCTTCATGAGAACCTCTCTCCTACCATAAATTTTCCACCAACAATCCCTGAAAAGGCTTTAAAAGGAATCAAAGCTCGCGAAATATTTACAATCAACAAACCAGTCGTGAATCGTAGCTGGAGGAAGGGTCTTAAAGTTTTTCTTTATTTCGTCGCCTTACGTTATGACTTCACTCCAATTCCAATCTTTTGCTAGCCGAAGAAATCATTCACTAAAAACCGAGTTTTGGTGAGACCAACCTCTATAAATACTCGCATTTAATTCAGTAGATACACAAAATTCATGCTAGTAACTCCTCCATATCACCATTTATGAAGAAAGCACACGGCACGAATCCTTCGAACTCGACCGGGAAAGTCAATCCGAGCCGAGGGGATGCTATCCTATCCCATCCTATTCAAGTGGATGCCATTAATGCTCATGGCCGGACGAGACCCCATTTTCTGTCCATAGACAAGATCATTTCCTTTATGATCACAGCATGGAACTTCGTTGTCCATGGTGGGTGGTACGGTTAAACGGGCACGTTTGCCCACTAGAACGCACCAAAAGTAAGAGCGCACAGTGACCCCACTAGCGGGCGGACAATAATACATTACATGGGGGACCCTTTTCAAAGACAATTAACATCGTCTTAATCAAAGTTTCGTCGTAAAGTCAGGTCAAAGTGGATACAATATAATATTTGGGCCGGTGTCCCGTTTTTCTTGCTGATTCGTTAAAGAACGATCCGCCATTGTTGTCCTCTCTTTTGTCTGGCACGGGGGGATAGAAGAACAAGCAGCCCGTCGCGCTCAAGAATGGGTTGTTTCACCTAACAAAGATCGCCACTGAAATCTGCGGATCCCTTTGAACGATGCTGAATATGCTCCCCAAGTGATTTTGATCTCTAGGATTACACAAAAGTCAACGGAAGAACGGCAGATTTTTGTGTGGGGTCTTGGTGATGTCTGAGCCTCTGGACTTCAGGGGCGCAAAGTGCAAAGAGGTCCATCCAACGTCTAGAATCTCTTGACTTTGGAGGGCACAAGTGATCGAGAACTTTGAACTTAACCTCGACATTGTTAGCTCTTTCACTTTGTCTGGACTCAAAGACATTCTAGTAGATAATGATAGTTTGACTGCTCCTTTTTAGTTCTATGTCTTCAGTGTCGAGCTAGCTCTTACTTTTCGTGCTTAACCCGAACTTAGGCTTCATGGGAAATCGATTTCGGTCGTGCAGATCGTGGCGGCTCCGAAGAGTTTATCGAGTCAAAATGTCTGTGTTGTTTTATGTATGTGATCCCGAAAATCCTCATCCTGCTGAGAGCTGACCTTGTTTTCTGATTTTTATCTTGCGAGCAGACGCATTCATGTGCAATCCTGCAAAGTATCTCTCTGGCCAATGTGGAGGAACCACCAGAATAATTGTTCTGGTTGGAGGTACTTTAATCTTCCTATCAAATTAATTATATGATCATAAATAATTGTTGAGTGTTCTAATGGTTCTATATTGCGCGTAGCAGAAGTAACTTGTGACTTCACGTGAGTATTAGGAATGTTCATAGCTATACCTGTCAAATGCTGTCTCATGTCATCTGTTTCTTTGTTTTCAGGTGTTGTAGTTGGGGCTTCCCTCATGATCAGTTTGGCATTGATCTGCTGCTTCTTTCGACGGCGAAGCAAATGGAAAGCTCAACTCAAGGTGCAGAGCCGTCTGTCCGAGGCCTCGGGCAAGAGCAGCATCACCTTCTATCCCTACAAAGAGATCGAGAGAGCCACAAATTATTTTTCAGAGAAGCAGAGGTTGGGGACCGGGGCATTCGGGACGGTCTATGCTGGGAAAGTGAATGGCAACGACGAGTGGGTCGCCATCAAGAGGATCAAACAGAGGGACAGCATCGAGCAAGTCATGAATGAGATCAAGCTCCTGTCGTCCGTGAGCCACCCCAACCTGGTCAAGCTCCTCGGTTGCTCAATCGAGAAAGGCGAGCAGATCCTCGTCTATGAGTTCATGCCCAATGGCACATTGTGCCAGCATTTGCACAGAGAGAGGGGTCAAGGACTTGCCTGGCCGATCAGGCTGAAAATTGCCACAGAAACTGCTCAAGCAATTGCGCATCTCCACTCTATTAAGCCCCCAATATACCATAGAGATGTCAAGTCAAGCAACATTCTCTTGGATGACAATTTCAAGTCCAAGGTTGCGGATTTTGGCCTTTCGAGACTCGGCATGCTCGAGGACTCCCACATCTCGACCACCCCACAGGGCACCCCGGGCTATCTCGATCCCCAGTACCATCAGGATTTCCACCTTTCCGACAAATCGGATGTCTACAGTTTAGGCGTAGTACTTATGGAGATCATCACGTCGTTGAAGGTCGTGGACTTCTCACGGCCTCAAAACGAAGTGAACTTGGCCAATTTGGCCACGGATAGGATTGGGACGGCGCGGTTGGATGAGATCATCGACCCGTCCCTCAATGTGCACAAGGACAAGTGGACGTACTTGTCCGTGCAGAAGGTCGCCGAGCTGGCATTCCAGTGCCTCGCGTCACACCGAGACCTGAGGCCTACCATGAAGGAAGTGGCGGATGAATTGGACCGGATCAGGCTCAGTAGATGGGCCGCTTCCGAAGCGAAAAGCTGCACGACTTTGTCCGAGACGTCTTCATGCTCTTCTTCGGGCAGTATCAGCGAGAAGTTGCTGATTTGTCCCAAAAGGAGTGCCGAACTGGAGATTACAAAGGCGATCAGTGTCAGTGATCAAAGTGGAGGTAGCGCCATGAGCTCGACCGGGAGCACAGCAGATAATTCGACAGCATCAATGAAAGATTCGTGCTTAAGTGAAGAGAGCTCTCCCTCATCAAACACTCTACTCTCTAAGGTGATTCAGTGACTTAAATGTGCCTTTCCATCCGAAGCTTTTACATCCCTTGTAAAACACCACACGTGTAATTCATTTAGTCGAGTTTTCTCTCTAACTTACTGGATTATACACTCATTAGCATATTTGTTCGACAATAGTGCCCAGAAATAAAGCAATTCGTCCCGTTGTTTGCATCTCCTCTCTGGCATGACAGTTCCGCTCATACAATCAATGTCGCAAATTCTTTGATTAATCGAGGAGGATTTGAAGAACATAACAAAGGAGGAGAGATGAGAAGGGCAGATCATAAGTTCCATGAGGAAAAAAAGATCAGTTTTAAACATCAGATCCTTCTGGTGCATAGAACAAAAAGGAATGAGAAAGCACATGTATGCAAAAGAATAGTTTGATCGTCCAAAACACGACCGTTGATCACCAGTGTACACTAACCTTTGTGAAAAGAATGCCGGTTTATCTAGTATCGTACATTAAACATGACGCCCCAAATCAATGCAGAGGTTTCTCGATGAATCAGTGACTGCACGACGACGACCGATATCAATAGAAAGTATTCTATGTCCGACGTCTCTAAAATAGAGTCATGGATGTTCCTGTTTACAGCATACCACAGATGGTAGAAATAGGCATTTCAAACAATTGTAAGTAGCCAACATGATACCAATCTTCCCTTTCCAGTGCTCAGCAGCCCATTGAAACTCTCCACCTCAACCAAGCTTGCTTAGAAATGCCGGAGAGCAATAGAACCTTGCTTCCATATCTCCTCAGAAAATCTGCAGGCACAGATACAGAGCATGCGATCTCTAAATTTCAGGTGTTGCATTGCAGAACGCACAAAGAGGGTCAATCGTAGCCCCTCGCTGCGATATACGACAGCCCATTCTGGATAACAAGCCAAGATATGAGCCGCGAAGTGTACGCGTATGTGCATGTGAAATTGCTCGTGGATCGTACGAGTCGTGAGCTTACCTTCATAGCCCTTCTCCATTACCAGATAGGAGCGGGCCTTGCAGCATCGCTCAAGCTTTCGGCCACTGCCGCCGCCACCGGAAGTGGCCATGCAGCTCCTCCAATATGTCCGGTCACGGCCGTGTTCCGGGGCCTAATCATACCATGGATGTTGATCATGGGATAAACAGCGTCCAATCTAGAGTTTTAATTTGACAAGAATCGCAGTTGAAGTAGCCCATTTGTCTCTAAGGCCACGACAATGACATTTCTTCACAGATCAAGCCCACATCTATATATCTATATTTATGCGATATGACATTGGAAATAGCGCCAAATATAAGTAATTATTTAGGGAGGTGTTATTTTCGCCTACGTAAGTAATGTTTCAGTGGAAAAGCTGCCTATATAAGTAGTTGACCTACATAAGTAGTTGCATTTGTCTATTAGCCTTTAGACAAATATGACTAATTAGATAGGCAGCTGTCATCATTGATATATATATATATATATATATATATATATATATATATATATATATCTTTCATTTGGATATACGAACTTATCTCCCATGGGTAATTTAACAATAGTTTTTGCTAAGGGAAATTGTCCGATCGATCCTAAATTCATTGTACGGATGTCCTAGTCCTAAACTTTTAGATTTTGCCAATTTAGTCCTGAATCCTTACGCGAAATTCTGCTTCTGACCAATTTTCACCAAGAACCACTGACGTAGAGGCATGCTGCTTAGGACGACCAGCGATTTTTGGACGACCACGTTAGTAATTTCTGGCGAAAATTTGCCAAAAGGACTATATTGGAATTTCGAGTAAGGGTTTAGGATTAAATTGACAAAATTGAAAAGTTACAAACTAAATTAGCATTCACACAATAAATTCAAGACTGATTGAATAACTTTCCCATCTCTCTGTCAATAATAGAAAAGCCACCTTTACTCGCTCCTCAATTGTGACCTCACCTCTTTAGGGATGATGGAATGACAAGTGTGACAATAGAATGACAAAGATAATTCTCTAATATCTTAAATATTGACTTCGTTTTGCATATTTAATAGGGCTAGGACTTTCATCATCACTCAATTCCTGCACGCCCAATTTGAAAGGAAGCCATCCTTTAATGCTTCAAGTCTAAGTTCCTATTAATTACATTATTAAGCTCACGCCTAACATGGGTAGGGACGGTGTTTTGTCTGCCAATTCGATGAATGGTATGATCTTCTATCGTCTCTGTGTTAAATCAAAATATTTAGGCTCCGTTTGTTTCGCAAAAAATGAAAATTTTGAAAAATATTTTCCTGAAAATGATCGCCCCTATAGCTTAGCGCATGTCAACTCGAGTATCTCGGTCTTAATATAGATTAAAAGAAAAGATAAATAGTGAGTTCTATCGTTAAGTACGTTAAAATTCAAAATCCGTGGGCAAGTTAATACCAAATCTCTCTCACTTTTACGAAGCCCGTATCTCCTACTTTGAAATTCAAATCCATATTCTCATATTCATAATCATCCAAATTCATTTCAAATCCGGAAAAAAAAACTAGTTAAATTTGGTGTCCATCGTTAATTTACGAAATCATCCTTGATATTCTTATGATTCTTACAATAACAAAATCTAAAATGGTCATTTCACAAATATGGGTGGGCTAGTTTTTGGATAGTGGATAGCTACTTTCATGTAATCGACTTCCTAGAAACATTCAGAATGCTGTCTAAGAACTGACCAAAAAAAATTAAAATCAAAATGATGATATGAATTAATCTCAAATCGTAAATTAGAAAAATTCTCGAGGAAATGCATTTCTAGCGTACGCTTGAAGATATCCCTAATCCCTAAGCTCACGGATACATTGATTTGCTCATATGACTTTACTTAAGCAAGTAGTGATTATCGTTACAAGTTATGTCAATTGTCCCAAGTCCATTTGAAATCGAAATCACGTGTTAGGGCGAAAAGAACACGATATATGATTCTATCGATAAAACATTGAAATTCAATTCATCGTCGATCATCAATTATTCTTATACTTGCACGGAAAGAGATCAAAGAAGCTGCTACTAGTTTTCATGAAATAATTGAGCGCGTATATAAAATAACATAAACCCTGGATTTGTATTAAAATAAGAGCCATGCTTTACCCGCTATCAAGCTACGGATTGCGCATATAAAAAGGATCTAATTCCGATCCGAGGCGAAACGAATTCCCGACACCCAGATTTATTTCGAATCGAGGATGCCCGCTCCCGGCCCTCTTTCTCACTCGTGCGATCCGATCGTCCCGTTCGGATCGCGATTTGTCCGTTTGATCCCGGCCCCTTTACCCCAATGAATAAATCAATACTCGAACAAGAATCTCGTGTTCTTTGTTTCGATGCACGAGCAACAGTTCGTCGCTTTTCCAAAGTGACACACCCGTCGTCGCACCAAAGCATACAATAGAGAGAGCGAAAGAGACCTCCAATTCATGCTTCAACTTTCACATGTTCCTATTATCTACGGAGCACCTCTCTGTACAAAAAGACGCACCGCCACCAACCACTAAGGATGTCGTGCCCACCCATACTTTGTGCCCCAAAAGAAACAGGACATATGAAAGAAAACAACAAATTAAAATAATTATTAAAAAAAAGGAGGAAAAAGGAAGAAAGAACGACATCACTAACCCGAAATTTTGTACAAAGAAAGGCTGCTAGTGCTAAATCCTCCACTGCCCCCGTCATCCTCCACTATCCCAAACATTGGACCCATTGGAGTAAAGTCCCACTAGCTTTTCGGGCATGTGCTAGGTGAGTACGAATTTAAATAAAAAAGTTTAGTCACTTTTCAAGACCCAGAATTGCTCGTGCGAGAAGTAGCTGACACATATCCTTCAGATTTTCCTTTCGTGTCGATTTTTAAAACTATTCTTTTTTTGGGTTGGTCAAAAGGTGGCTAGCTTGAGCGACGTGAGGGTCACCGACGCCCCCAACGCCGACGCCCCGACCTCCATCTCGAAGGAGTCGTACCGGAGGAAGAGCTCCACCACGAGCAGCCGCGACACCAATACCACGAAGTCCTTCCCCGCGCACTGCTTGTTCCCCAGGTTCGGGCTCTCGGTCTCGGGCCCGTTCGACCACAGGACGTGCCGGAGCAGCCTCTCGCCGTCGTCCCCGACGAACCGGTCCGGCACGAACTCCTCCGCCCTCTCGAATATGCGCCGGTCCTTGGTGGCGAAGGGCTGGTACCCGAATATCATCTCCCCCTCCTTGACCTCGTAGGCGGCGTCGTGGCTCTCGATCACCAGGTCCCGCTTCGCCTTCCCGTACTGCAGCGGCACCGGCGGCTCGATCCGGAGGGCCTCGTAGACGACCGACTTCATCAGGGGCATCCGCTCCATCGCCGCCATCGTGACCTTCCCGCCGGCGTCCCGGACGGCGGACCGGATCTCCCGGGCCAGCTCGGTGTGGAGCTTCACCCCGGCCCGCCCGATCCACTTGATCATGTTGGGGAAGAAGATCTTCATCCCCCCGAACGAATTGAAGCAGGTGGCGAAGAGGAGGTTGTGGCAAGCCTCCTCGCGCGAGATCCCCATCCGCTCGGCCTCGTCGAGGACGGGGCCGGAGGAGGACTGGAAGAAGTCGTAGAGCCGCTTGTAGTCCTCCTTGACGAGGAAGGGCGGGAGGCGGAAGGTGTGGATGACGAGGTCCTCGACGAGCTTCGGGAGGCCGAGGACGAGGAGCGGGGCGAGCTGGAACACCACCCACTTTCCGACCAGCTTCGGACCGTCGAGCCCGAGCTTGGTGTCCGCCGGGTTGACCCCGTAGAGCGATCGGGCCAGGAAGTTGAAGGCGGCCTGGTCGTTGGGCTCGCCGAAGCCCGCCTTCCCCTTGGAGGCGAGTTCGGCCTCGAGGACCTCGAAGAGCTCGGTGAAGCTGGAGTGGAACTCGGGGATGACGTGGTCGCGGCGGTGCTTGAGGAGGAAGAACATGAGCTTCTTCAGCATGGCGTGGGCGGGCTCGGAGGGGTCGAGGTAGGCGAGGACGCGGTAGCCGCCGGTGAGCTCGGTGGAGGGCATGAAGGTGCCGGTGAAGAGGTCGCGCTTCTCGACCTTGGTGACGTCGAAGAGGACGGGGAAGCTCTTGCCGTCAAGGAGGACGACGACGCGCGGGTTCTGGGAGATGAAGGGGCCGGGCGGGAGGTTGGCCCGGTACACCGTCGACCCGTACTTCTGGATGCGGGACTTGAAGAACTCGTCCCGCCCCTGGTTGTAGAAGTAGTCCTGGCGGTCCTTGAACGGCCCCACCAGCGGCAGCCCGTAGTCCCCCGGGATCTTCCGGAGCGGCAGCTTGGGCTTGGGGTCCGGGGAGGCCACCACCGCCGGGGGCACAGCCGGTCTCTCCGACACGGAGGCGGCGACGCGGCGGCGGCGGTGGGCGGGGAGGCGCAGCGCGGGGGCTCCGCGCCGGGGCGCGCCGCGGCTGTGCGCCGTGTGCCGGAGCTGCAAGGGAGAGAAAGTTAAGGAGGTTGACGCCATTAATGCTCTGCTTTGACACACACACGCACTATCTCTCTCTCTCTCTCTCTCTCTCTCTCTAACTTTCTGCGTCGGACTGTTGAGGAAGAAGAGAGAGAAAGTGGAAGTGGGAATAAAGAAGGAAAAGGGGAGGGTCGAAGGAGCTTTTGTTTGATGGTTGGGAAGGTGGAAGGAGGCGTCAACGACGGGGAGACGACGTGGAGTCGAGGGAAAGTAATGAGGGTTTGACGGGAGGAAGGCGGTGGAGGGTGCGCGTATTTATAGCGGGGGCAACGCCGCTGACGGGGCGTGTCGGGGGGGCCCCACCCCACACCCTTCGGCTTATTGGAAAAGCACGACCCGTTTTTGCATATTTAAGCTTGACCATAATCGTGAAAGGTGTGCATAATTGAATCGGGTCTCTCTTCCCCTTCCTCCTTTTGTTTATTATATCGGGATAAATATATTGAAAGCCCTAAAATTCATCGTGTAAGTGCAATCGATTCTTAAAACTTATCACGAGAGTATTATCAAATTCTAAAACTTTACAACAGTATAAACAAGTCCTAACACTTATCAAATTGAACCAGTCGAATCTGATTATATTTTATGAAAGTTTCAAGATTCGATTGTATTTTCATGATAAGTTTTAAAACTTGATTGCTATTTTTGAAAGTTTTAAGACTCGATCGCACTTTCGTTATAAGATTTAAGATCGAATTGCACTTTCGCGATAAGTTTTAAGAATTCCCATGCATTTATCCCTTACAAAAGTAGAGAACTATTATCGGTGAAGGCTGTTCTCGATACGAGAAAAAGGGTTTTTTTTTAAATGGGTGTGCACGATTTTTTTAGTTATTTTTCGGGTGTTATTTATTGGAGGGTGGAATCTTAGCACCTTTTTTTCAAGGGCAAACGGGGTTCAGTGTCTTCGCAGCTGCTTCCTTGGTTACTGGTGATGAACATGTGCTGCGTCTGCTCTGAATATTATAATGTTCGACGGAGACTCTTCGTCGCCGCCGGTGTTTGCTTGAGCGGTACGCCGTCCGCCGGAAAAGTCTCGTCCATAAAAATTCGAGTGGAATTACTTCCGGATTGTAATTTTTTTCCCCAATCGCGTTTTTAGTTTCTTTCTTTTCGTGCTTGGGTGATGGAGATTGATGGGTCGTGTCTTACCTTCTTCAACATTATGCTGTGTACTTTAAAGGGGAGAATTGACTTTTGATAGGGAAAGAAAATTCAATTTGAGCAACTCCCGATATGAAGTCGGACCAATTGCGGGCGACGGAGATTGTTTGAATTCGAGACTATCGAGAGGTTTATCAAATATCCTGAACGTGATAGAGAGTATCCTGACTAATGACACTAACGTTCTCGTGAGGTCGAGTAGGATTATAGGGGCTTAAAATCCAAGATCGTGACAGTAAAGTTAGCAGGATTATAAATGTGGCTCTCGCGTGGTGGGCGGCGCTATTATGATATTCTTAGACTTAAAACTCGCCTCATGTAAGCAGAACAATCATAAGGAGTGGTTGACCATTTAGGACGGGTTGCGCCGATGAATGGCGGCGGAATTAGAACTTTAATTTGGTAGGCGCAACGAAATGAAATACCGTTTTACCGTAGAGAATAATTAAGCTCGAATTCCAAAAACAAGTGTACTTTATGCAATTTAGTGGTTGGTCTTTAAGCATTTAAAGTTGAGTTCCTAATTCGTTCAAAACCAAAAGTTGAGTTCCTAAATTTAAATTTGTTGATTTCAGTCCGCGGCCTTCGTTTTTTCTTCATATATAGGTCACATTTCTTGCTCTTGATCAACCTCGCAAACATGCCTAGATTTTAACATAAATTACATGCAAATGAGCGATAGAAAACTACGATCACATCTAACTTTATGTTGCACATCTTGCACATAACTATAAGCTACGCTTTAATTATATAGCCGAGAGAATAATCTAAAAGTCATTAAAAATATATTTTAAATCGGGATCGCATGAAAGAAAAAAAAATAAAAAAGAAATTTTAAGGACAAAAGATCTCGATTTTCAATTATTCGTATTTTGATTCGAGCATTCGAATAGTTTGAGTGATTTAATTATTTGTACGTTTTTTTTTTGTTTTTTTATATTTGAACTTTTAAAGTATTTCGTGGGCCCAATTTGTTATTTAAAAAACCTAAGTGGTGTCAAAACTCAAGATATGATGGGATCAATTAGGCATCTCAAAAAGGGGATAATTATAATTAAGGATAATTTGAAGTTGAGTGGAATCGATTGACCCCGCTCCACATAATATGCCACTGCCACCTCTAGGGCCACAAGATACAAACCTTTCTATCATTGTAGGTCTCAGGATGTCGGAATGATAAGGTTACGTGCCTAGAAATCTTAAAATTTGTTGCGATTACGCTTGGAAGAAGCACAATCAAGTCATAAAACTGGCCAAATTAGTGCAGTTAAATCCCCCCACTAACTCCATCTAATTTAGCCAGCAGGCGTGACTTTTTTTAATCGTTTTTCGGTGCCGATACAGTCAATTACAGATACGTGCCTGTGATCATGTTTATCGGATTCTTATGAGACCGAGAACTGTACGAGGAGGTTCGATTAAACGTCATTATTAGATAATCGGGCCACGACTAAAGTAGCTTAACGCATTATTGTCCTTCGTAGCTGTTCTACGTTGTCAAAGAACTCTTAGAATTTGGTGGCCGAGTAAGAAGACTTTCTTGCAGGATACCCTAATTTTGGGAAATTTTTCAAGAAACGTCCAAATTCGCCGAAAAACTCATTTGTCTTGTAGCCCCTATACTATCTCTAATTGCACGTTTGTACTCCAATGACCATCGACTTTTCTGATTGACTCCCCGCATCAAGATCCATTTCGAAATTGTGCACCTCCACTATTGACAAAGTTTACATACACTCTCGCAAATGTTCAAACTACGTTGTCAAAGAACTCTTAGAATTTGGTGGCCGGGCAAGAAGACTTTCTTGTAGGATACCCTAATTTTGGGAAATTTTTAAGAAACGTCCAAATTCGCCGAAAAACTCATTTGTCTTGTAGCCCCTATACTATCTCTAATTGCACTTTTGTACTCCAATGACCATCGACTTTTCTGATTTGACTCCCCGCATCAAGATCCATTTCGAAATTGTGGGCCTCCACTATTGACAAAGTTTACATACTCTCTCGCAAATGTTCAAACCCTAAAATTTGAGGAACTATGGTTGAGAACTGCTTATTAATAGACTTACAAATTGAAGGACTACTTCTTTTACTCATGCCGATTCTATTATGAGATTTCAGGTGAAATGAATAATCGAAATTAGAAAAAGGCGTGCACGCATAGAGGGAAACGGTGAAAATAATTAAATTAATAAAGAATGAGGTAGTATTTGAGGATATTAATCTATTTCTTGAATCTAATTTTCGTTTAATGTAAACGGTAAGATGAGAAATTGTAGAATACTTAACAATTACTTTGTATTCGATTTTAGAAGATAAGGGATTCGTTCATTATTTGCCAATTATCTTGAGCACCCGAAAAGTTTTTTTTTTCTGTTCCTCTCTCTTCTCTTTCCATCGTCTTCTTCAAGCTTTAGCCACGGGGGAGGGTTTGAGTGAGTCTCACCCTCCTCTCCCGTTAATTTTGTTTGAGTTTTTTTTTGTTATTTTCTTTTTTTTTCTTCTCTCCCAATTTAAATCTGAGAGCTGTTGGCATTTTAGCATAAAAAATCCATAAATTGTGAATGAAAAGTGTGAATGGAAATAGTCCCACATTGGATAGAAGTTGTGATGGGAGATGGTTTATTTATATGAGCCTCTCAAATGGGTTTGAGCCCCAAAGGGTACCCCACTTTTGTGGAAGGGAGAGGACTTACGCCAAGCTAGGTCGGTCCCCCCGCGCACGCCGCCGCCGTCCGGCCGGCTTGGCTTGGCTCGGGCCCGGGTCCATTCTCTATCGATTTTTATTTTTTTCCGAACAGACACGTTTTGTTAGAAATTAATTAATTATTTTTTTTGGACAAACAAACATGTCTGTTCGTGAGGTTCGGTTCGCTCGAAACGTTGCTCGCGACTATTCACAAATTGAATGAAAACTACTTCGTTTCAAGCGAGTGCTCGCGACTGTTTACGGACCGAATGAAAAACCGCTTCATTGCTCGCGACTCTTCGTGGCATTCTTATTTTTCCCGCGAGACTTTTTTCCCGACCCTCTCTACACATTTTTCATTTGTTTCCACACGGCATTCTGCTGCATTTTCTTCATCATTGTGCGATTATTCTGCGAAGTTGCGTTCGAATATTTCCTTTGAAGAAGTATCACTTCCTTGGAAAGGCGATCCGTTCTATCCTGGGAGACAATTGTTTAACAACCTTGGGTACTGGTAGAGGGGACAAATTGTCTTAAGGACACAACGTGAATTCGTTGGGCTCGGATCATTAGTCAACATTCGGATTACTCGTCAGAACGTGATTTCAGGTTTGTCGAACAACTTTATTTTGCATATACAAGCACTATTACGTGACAACAAGAGCTCTCTTCTCCTGGTTTAATTTTAGATATGAGAGTTTGAACTCTTTTGACTTAAATATAGATCTAGGAGAGCTTTTCTCTCCCGATTTAGATATGGGAGTTTAATAATTCGATACCTCTGCTCTCTATCCATGTATAGGTTCTTTGCCTCCAGTTTCAATGATAATCGCAAGGGCTTTGTGTCTCGCTGGACCATGAAAATTTGCTACTCCAAATGTTGGATGTTTGTTTTTTCAACCGATTTTGGTTGTCTCCATATGGCGATGGTATAGAGGAAGCCGAACTTAGACATGCACCGCCAACTAGCAATGCCGTAGTTATTGGAGAATGGATTTCTAGCGTGTGCTCATTATTGATGATGACACGAGATCCAGTGATCGGTCACCGATTATTTTGCTTGACAGATCCGTTTTTATGGAACAAATGTGTGCTTAACCCTGCCGATACTTTATTGATCATCCTTGTTATATGGATTTGGCTTTGTGTTGTTATATCCTGGTCTTTGCTTTGCTTCGATTTGCT